TTTTTTCGCTCTTGTACTTCGTACTTCGAAGCACAGTCAAATGTACTTCTTTCCGATATTTTGTACTTCTCCGATCTTCTGGATGATCGTCACATGGCCTGGGCGATAAATTCGTTCAAACCACTAACAATTCCGCGTTTAAATCTACTTAACAAGGGTTATCTACCGCTCTCCCCTACTCTAGATTGCGGTTGTAAACCACCTTCTAGCGGAACTGGGAAAAGTGGGCTGTCGGGTGATCGCCTATGTAGACGATGGGGAACTTTAGGTTATGGGACGATTTACCCCTTTTTTGATCTGACAGGCCATTGTGCAGTTGGTATTCATGCGGTGAGACTAAGAATTTCGACTGATCATTTTGTGTCAGCTGTCAAGAGGAGGATGAAGTAAATCTCCACACTTTTTTTTAGACTGTCCAACCTTCGCGAGACTAAGATGCAAGCATTTTTGCTAGCAATTCTGAACAAACACTGAGCTCTCAGGGATCGAAATTAGCCGGATTCGAAATTTCATAATCAACTCGCGGCGTTAACTTAATCCAACCTAGCATGTACTTCTTTGAGCTATGAAATAGTTGGTCGCATTAGGTATTACGGTCGCTAATAAATATGCAACTCGCTTTGCACCGCACTGTAAGCCAAGTATGCTGGATCTCATTGGTGTCAGCATTATTAATAATGTAAAACATATTGATCAATTCCCCCTGTCTGGAGTATCTGACCATGAGTTATTGTTCTTATGCTATAATATACAGTTTTGCAAAATAAAGCCAACAACCAACGTTACATATAGAGATTTTAAAAATATTAATACCACTGCCTTATGTAATGAAAGTTCCTCACTGGACTGGAACTCTTGTTGGCTCCTTTCAAGTGTTGACGATAAATTAGCCCACTTTANGCCACCTTACAATGCTGGTAAAATATTTGTTTGACAAATATGTTATTCTCCGTACTCTTAACATATTGGACAATAGAAAGCCCTGGTTCACTAATAACATTATAACCCTCATTAAGGATCGAAACAGGGCATATAAGTACTGGAAACGTAATCCCACAGTTGATCGGTGGAATGTCTATAAGAACTTAAAGAATAAAATAACAAAGAACTTGCGTCAAACGAAAAAAATTACCTTAAAAATAAGTTTAATAATAACGTTTCCTCTAAGGTGTTATGGAAAAACTTGAACTCATTGGGAGTATGTGCTAAGGAAAAGAANAGTACTGGAAGCGTAATCCCACAGTTGATCGCTGGAATGTCTATAAGAACTTAAAGAATAAAATAACAAAGAACTTGCGTCAAACGAAAAAAATTACCTTAAAAATAAGTTTAATAATAACGTTTCCTCTAAGGTGTTATGGAAAAACTTGAACTCATTGGGAGTATGTGCTGAGGAAAAGAAAACTTGCACCATTGATGCAAATGAGATGAATTCATATTACATAGGAGCAAATAGATAATCAAACGCGTCCTCTTTTACAGTTAACCAGGGTCTAGTTTGTAATCCTGTCCATGAATTTACGTTTAACACAACTACTGAAGATGAAGTTGTCACATGCATCTTTGGTGTGAATTCGGATGCCAATGGTGTAGATGGACTTAGCTTACGTTTTCTTAAACTGATCCTCCCTTTTGCTCTTCCCTCACTTACACATATCATCAATTTTGCCCTAACCACTTCGACTTTTCCAAACCAATGGAAAATTGCAAATGTCATTCCGATCCCAAAAAGCAACATTAGCGAATCTCCCGTTAACTATAGGCCTATCAGTGTTTTACCAGCATTATCAAAAGTGTCTGAAAAAATTATTTCCAATCAAATAATATTACACTTAAATAAATACAAGCTCTTGAGTGAGTTTCAATCTGGATTTAGATCTGGTCACAGTTGTTCCACAGCCGTGATAAAGGTAATGGACGACATTCACCCCGCTTTCGATAGCAAATTTTTAACAATTTTGGTACTCTTAGACTTCTCTAAAGCTTTCGATTCCGTCAATCACAATATTCTACTCTTAAAATTGCAACATTACTTCGGGTTTACTAAAACATCGGTTAAATTAATAGAAAGCTACCTTTCAAATAGACTCCAGCAAGTTCAATGTGGGAACGTGTTTTCTAGTCGCATGATAATCCCGTCAGGAGTTCCTCAAGGATCTATAGTGGGCCCTATACTCTTTACCGCTTTCATTAATGACATACTTCACTGCTGTCAAAATGCGTCTATACACCTTTACGCTGATGATAATCAGATTTATTATTCACGCCCGATTAGGCTTGGCGAAGACTTAGTTTTCAGACTTAATGATGATCTAAAGAGAATATCAATTTGGGCGAAAACAAATTGCCTTTATTTAAACGCAGCCAAAACACAGGTACTTCCAATATCGCACGATGCTTTCGACCTTACTAACTTATCGCCTATCATTCTGGAAGACTCGGAAATCCAATTTCGACCATTATTAACCAACCTAGGATTTAAAATGAACACTAACCTTACTTGCACGGATCACATAAGTTATAGCGTATCACAAATATATTAGACGTTAAGAAGTCTGTGGCATACTTGCTACTGCCTACGAACTAATACAAAACTTAAATTAGTGAAATCTCTCATCGTTCCTCAAATAACCTACTTTGTATAGGTATATTGCAAGCTAAGTTACGAATCTAAAAATAAACTAAATTTGGCTTTAAATAATACTGCTAGACTCGTATATTGTAAAAGAAAGTTTGACCACATTTCGCCGTACACTAAAAACATTCTCGGTTTCAGCTTTGAAAATTACTTAAAGGTCCGAAATATTTTACTCCATCTTCTTCTCCATCTTTAGTAATTCATTTTACCTATTCTTACCCTTTACTAAAGATTATGATATATTACTGTTAGGTTAAGTCTAAAATAAGTTCAAGATCTATAATTTAAATGTTAAATTTGTGCAATGAAAAGACTATATGTCTTACGGTACATCTGTCATGAATAAAATAATAATAAAGTCGTACAGAATACCCCTAAAATAATGTACTTGAAGGTTTTAACTTACTTTTGGATTTCGATCAGCAACAACTGTGATGGTAAAGGCCACTGTAACTAGTATTGCAAATAAATACGTTTGAAGGTGGCCCATATTTGCGAGAACTATGATTTTTATGCTTAAGCATAAACAAATTTGCATGAGGAGACGTTAATTATTTTAGACAAATTTACGTTGATTCTTAAACGGCTCACTCTTTATTAATGTTCAACACTTTTTTTTTACTTCTGTTATTCAAAAGTGCAATCCGTATTTGGTGGTCATAAGATTCAAACTTCAGCACTAATTTTTAATCTTGGGGTTATTTCTTCAAATATTTGATCCCAAAATTATTTAAATTCAAAAATTCTCTCATTAGACACTTGGAGCTGTAATCGATAGAACAACTTATTTTTTCACACAAATAAAAAAGCACTAAAAGGAATTGTAAGTTTTTTTTAACATATAATGAAAATGATATGCCATAAATTGTGAATATAGGCAAAAATTGCATAGATAAACGTAGGCTATTGATGCATGGCGGTAGAATGTAAAACCATAAATCATACTTTTATGCTTTAATTAATGTATTCTTTTAGAGATGGGATATTCTTATTTGCACTGACTTGGTTGCGATTTCGGATCGAAACGATGTGTTCACGACGACGAATCGTTACTGAATAACATTAAAAAATTTGCGCAGCTCAAAATCGAAGACATGCCAAGTGTAGTACATCTGCATCTATGTATAATTACTTATTATTAGTATTTTCAAGTACTTGCATACCCTGTTGGAAAATCCAACATGCTCTGCATTACGAAATATGTAGCAAGGTTTTAAATTGCTTTCTAAATTTACACCCCTATTCTGCAACTCTTTCGTATTCGGATTTTGCTACGAATCGTAGTAATAGTATGCTGCAATCCGAATCGTATTTTCGAACTTTCGAACAAACGAACGAGTAAGCTTTTTTGCGTAATTTTGTACGAAAACAATTCTGTGTCGGAGGCGAAATAAAAGATGTAAATCGAGGTGTGTTTGCAAGAAATATTGGTGGTGTTCATTTAAACAGATAAATTTGCCTTTCCCATATGCGTATATTTTTATCCACTTTATATAAACGAGCAAAAAAGAATCTTTGTTGCCCCTTATCGAGAAACTTGGGTCCGGTTTAGATATTTGTACAATGATTTTCGGTTGTTGTTTCCAAACGCATAACCCGAATCCAAAAACTTTAACATACACGTGTAATCAAAGGATTCACATTTTATTTAAGATAAATGTTTCAAATTTTCTACCACTAGCTTATTAATAAACTCGGTTTGCACTATGCATTTTGTTTGCAAATTTCGACATGGGTTCTGCGCAAAAATACTGTGGATGGCGTAGCCGGAGAGACATGCACACATTAGTGCACACAAGGGGGGTTCAAACCCCCCCTAAAGCTAATAATCTCAAATACAAACTGTATCTTAAAGCTAAGAATCCAGCTCTCAAGGAAATTATAAGAAATAATTATTATAATTTCTGTTGCATGAAAAAGCGCTTTGCTTTTGCTGTAAATTTTTATGAGGAAATAAATATACGAGCATTTTTTTCTTTAGAGGTGCAAACTGATTTATGAAAATTTGGTAGAAGACAATTTCTTTTCCATTTCTCGTCCGTCGTTTTATATGAATTTTTCGTTTTCTTGAGAGTTCAGTTAATTTTTTCGGAACTCGAAATATTAAAAAAATTTAGCAATCGTGAAAAATCACCCTCTATCGAAAACCAAAAACCAGAAATCGAAAAAATGAACATAAAAGTGCAAAAATTCATGGAATCAATAAATTTATTTTTACTGACTCTTTTTTAAAATTTTTTATTAGGTACTTTTGAAAGTTGAGCGCATCTTGAGTTTATAGAACTTTTTATTAAACAAGTAGTTTTTAAGAAAGAACACAACCGACTTCAATTCTCATATACAAATTTGGGGGTACCGTTAATTTCTTCATGATCCAATCATCGGATCTCTAAACCAAATTACGGGACGACCCTTGAGGTACCATCTTTCCAATAAAAAAAGGATTATTGAAATCGGTTCACGTGGTAAAAAAGTTATGTATTCCGGCGAATTGATAACCTCCCCTTTTTTGAAGTCGGTTAAAAGTGTTTGAGTTCTGTTAATCTATATAAATAAAGTGCAGTTTATGAATTTTAAAACGTTTATTTATTTATTACATACTGTACATAAAACTTGCATAAATGTATTTTAAAGCACATATTATCAAGCAAATTTTCAGTATTTTCCGGTGATATATCTTCAGAAATATAAACTCCCCCCCTAAAATATATTCCTGGGTGCGCCCCTGCATGCACAAAAGTATTATATACCTTCGACATGCGACATGCCCCTTTTCTCCGGCAACACAGAAAGGAGAGTTCTACTTAGTAAGGGCTATAATCCCTAAGCCGGCCGAAGGCAGAAGCAAGCGCAACAGGTGGTGGACCTAACAAGTGCATTTTTTCAATGGCTTGAAGAAGCTGTTATTGCATTAACTGGATTGAGAACCATTTCTTCAGGCATAGGAGGAGTTCTGGCTTGTGGTTCAACAATTCAACAGAAGATGACATAGATGCGCCCATGGTTACTATGCCCGACAGCTCGGCAGACCTTTGTGAATCCATTGCCGTAGCGCCCGCTTACTCTGCTGCTATAATTGCAAATACATCAGAATCCATAATTTTCTTCAAAATATGTAAAACTAACCGATTTTACAATAAACAAGCACATGATGAGCGTTTTTTTAATTCCTTTCCACTTGGTTTTTCTTCATTCAGCTATCTTCGAAAAACAACTGACAGCTGGCAATGCTACACATGTTTCCGCAAGTGTTGCAGCATGTGAATTTTTCATTTTTCGTAGCGTAACTATAACCAACACTGAAGTGAGAGTCTGTATATTCCCGGATAAAATTCTGGAACAGGGAAAATAAATAAACATTTAGTTTATACTCCATAAGAACTTGGATCGCATTTGTTTTTGTTTTGGCCTGAAGTATATGCACTTCCGTATGCCCTGATATATAGGGTTTGTTTGAGTTGCAATCACAACCGCAGTGTTGCGCGAATTATTAAGTATCACGTTCTGTGTGAATTTCTAGCAATGTATTATCAGTTGGGCAGTAGCAACAATGTTGCATTTTTCATCAAAACGGCAGTAATGCCGCTTTTATTACGTGCCTCGAACAGGTCCATAAACACAATTCATATAAAAGTGACTGAATTTCATATGGAAGGGCAAGCAAACGCCTTCCCATATGAACATGTACAAATCTACACCAACAAATATACAATAAAAATTAACAAAAAATATGGCAGCACTGAAAAAAAATGTATACTTAAAATTTATTTAATATACATACATATCGACCCCTAATTGCAATGTTATCGTAAGCGACAAATTATCGAAAACCATTTTTTTGTCATAGTAGTTACAACGTCCTACAAAATTGCAGGCTTTAAATATGTTGCTTTGCTTACACTTTTGCGGTCCCACGATTTTATCGTAAGCGACACTGTGTATACCGAACGTTATTGTAAATAGCAGTTTTAACTGTAGTTTTAACCAAAGTTTCATCGGCACTTGCTACAACTGATGCTTCAAAATCAGCTTCTTTCACTCATCAAAATTATGTGCAATCTGCTATTATGCAATTCCAGCTGCAATCACTAGTGCAGCGTGACTCGTCTAGCGGGGTCTTTTTTGAAACTCTTTCTTTTCCAATGGGTTATTAGATAACCATATCATAACCATATGAGATAAGCATATCAGAAAGATCAAAAACGATACCTCCTATTGTACGCACTGGTATAGAAAAAAATGCAACTGAATTCGAAATTTCCATCTTAACACCAGCTTATCGGCCATATGGATCCACACTTTCGAAATTATTTCATTTTGCCGTTTATCTCTTTCAAATTTCTTATAAGATTTTGATTTTATCCTTTTACCTGTCATAATTAGGGCATCCAATCCCGCAAACGCAGGATCCTGCACCATTTTGTATATTTTAACTTCATTTAAATTATAACAAAAATCTCAGTGAACACATAAAATTTGTAGATTATTGTGATTTTCACCTCAAAAATTGTGAAAATTTGAGCAGCCCTGGTTTATACAAACATATACATCTGAAAATTTCGTAATTTATGAAGTGATACTATATTTTACTAATTTGAGAGTTCCAATTCGTCTCCAGGGGGACATGAATCGATGCCATTAGAACCGCCTTAGCAGTCTTCATGCAATACCGCATCCGACATTATAATAGGGGTTTCTCGATTTGATTTGATTTTCTTGCAGGGTATGTACATATAGCAGTAGTGACGCCTCCAGCGCGATGGTGTTGTAGCCCAGCATGGCATAGTGCCGATGCTATGGAGGGCTTGTGGTTTAGTCACTTTGTTGTTTACTTGCCCAGCCAGCAAAAAATCCGAATCCGACAAAAGAGGAAAAAAAAGTGGATGAAGTGCGGATTTTTGTCCGTTTACAGATTCCATTTTCGGATACTTTGACGATCCGTTTTCCCACTAAAGTGTGCGGCAAAAACGTATGTACAGACAACTATCGAAAATTCACTCAGTACTCTTTCTTTCTGAACTTCACAGATTCTTTTTCATGGTTAAAAAAAATAAAATTAAATTAAGAAGCGCCTGACGGAATTAAAACCCGGCACCTTGTAGAAGCTAACAAATAGCGGCACGCTCCTCCACTGCCGACTACGCATGCATACTTTCAAATGTTTAGTTGAAACAAATAATGTACAATTATTTCTTTCAAATAACATCGTGTTTTTCGAACGTTTCGAACGATTCACGGATACGAAAATGTATGATAACCGCGTAGTCGTTTTCTATTCGAGATTGCACTGTCGGCAAAATTTACGTTTCTTTGCCGGCTGGATGATCATTCACTCGTGCATGCATACACAGATATCTGTAAACGTACATATGTATGTACATACTTGTGCACTACTATGTGCGCTTAACTGTTCGGATGGTAATTTAAAAATTTGAAACGGACATTTTCTTCGCCACAAAATAGTGAACCCAGCAACAGGCAAAAGACGGAACGACGTGTCTTGGTTGGCAACTTAATGCAAAGTTTCATTGCTGAATGGTCAAAAGTTTTCTTTGAAATCTTAAAACAACGTAGCTATAAAAAGCTATCTTTTTGAATTGGGGGAACGTGCCATGATCACTGCTGCTCCAAATTAACCCCACTTTACCAAACAGAATGCAGCATCACGTCCACAGTGGTTTACCAATACAGAATCAACTACGTATTTTAGATTCATTCGATGTAATGACGTCTACTTTGATCGAAAATCACAAGACACTTGCACTGTCAATTTTTCGGGGTATTTTTAAGTCTTTTAGGTGAACTATAACAATCAATCTTGTTATTTGCATCACTGACTTGTGTAATCAATAATTTTGACAGCGAAAACGGCATTAGAAGTGGCAAATATAAAGTCTCAGCTTATTATGCATACTACATACATACATATGTATGTATGTAGTATATACATATGAGGCATTCTTTTTTATGTCGGACACCAAATTTGGTCTCACACTTTCGATTGGCTTGTAATTGGTTTATGGGTTCTATACGTGAAACAA